ATGATGCAGACGACACAGCTGTGTGTCGTCTGCATCATACTGTAGTTAAGGAAATTCTGTTGTTGTTTATTAGAATCTGAGTGAGGGGGACCATGTTAATATTAAATAAAAAGGGCCCTAAGATAAACTCTTGTGGAACGGCATGTGATTTTTTTTGGTCTCTGATGTAAAATTACCTACTGACACATAGAAGTCCCTGTCTTCAAGTAGGAATTAAAGCAGTCAAGTTCTGTACTAGAAAGGACAGCCCAGTTTTCCAAGTGCTGTAATAAAATGGAGTGATCAACAGAGTAAATGCTGCTCTGCGGTCCAGTTATACCAGTGCTGTGGTTCTTTTACAGTCTACATTTCTACAGTTGTCATTAAATGCCATTACAAGTACAGTCTCTGAAATGTGGGTGAGCATGGTAGCCTGAATGGAAGAAGTCAAAGCAGCTGGCCATTGTAAGAAAGGCATTTAACTGACACAAATTTTCTGATAATATTACTGATGAAGGGGTGGGGGTGTCGAGATGGGCCTGTAGTATTGCAGTTGCTGTTTTTAAACAGCAATTTGATCATTCCTGTTTTTAGGGCCTGGGGGAAAACACCTAATGAAAAGGATGTGTTTATTAGTCTAGTTAATCAAATGTTATGACAGAATGGGCTTTGTTAAGGAAGGCTGTTGGTAAAACTTGGACATAGCGGGAGGAAGAGCTTAGTTGGTGTATGATTTCTTCTAAGTTTTGTAGTTTATTTGGTGAAATCAATAAATTTTGTCTAGATTTGTTTTAATCAATTCACTCTATTTCCCAAAATTTGAAAATTTTGTTTCAATTTTTTCTAGTGACAGACACCTTTGGTAGTGTTGTTTTTTTTGTTCTTTGGTTTTGTTAATCACTTGTCAATGATTTCAGAAGATGTCAGAGAAGAACAATTCTCTTGCATTATTCAATTTTGAGTTATATCAGTGAAGTCTCTCTTTACAGGTGTTATGGGGAACCTAGAGTCTAGGCCATGTCCTGGTTTTTGTGTCAGCCATTAGTTTCTCTTCACAGTATGGATGATTAGTGGATGTGAAATCATGCCTTTCAATATGTTTTTTAGTACCCTGTGTACCTGATCTGGTGGAGGCCCGAGTGGTTTGCGAGTCCGGTGGAGTAATGGTGTCCTGGCAGCAGACCAAAGGGGCTTCGTCCTACACAACAATGGCACAGGGCAGCGGTGGATACGCTTCAGTGTGCAACAGCACTACAACGTCTTGCCTTTTAGATGACGTGCTGTGTGGCCTGAATTACTCTATCACCGTCATTGCTTCAAGTGACACGTGTAGCAGTCCTGAAAGCTCTTCCGTGGAGATCGACACAGGTACAATCCTGTTTCAGAATTTAATGTATCTTTTATCCTATAATTTAATTGTGATATTGTTTTAAACCACTTTTTTTTCAACTGTTGGTTTGTAGTGCCATGTGTGCCACAGAAAGTTACAGCTGAGATGGTGTGCAGCAATAACACTGCCATATTATCATGGGAAGAAGATGAGGGGGTCACTTCGTACCATGTGGAAGCCTTTGGACCCGACGGTCACCTAATGTACTGTAACAGCATTGAAAACAGCTGTGAGCTTCCTGGCATGCACTGTGGCCAGCGCTACAACCTAACAGTCACAGCTCAAGACGGACGCTGTGACAACAGCAACGCCTACCTCAGCCTAAAGTCTGGTAAAGAAAAAAAAATGATGACCCTTTATATGTTTTTTTGCAGGTTTTCTTGTCATTTAAACATTTTGTTTTATCTATCATATATCCCATGCCCTAATTTGGACCCGCATTTGTCACAGCCCGCTCTAACAAGATGATAGATTATGACCCTTGATTCCCACCTACTGAAGGATAAAATTTTCTGTTTGTGACATTTGCATGCAGCGGGCCTTAAATCATTGGTTGAACAATAAGTATAAAAGCTCCTCTTTATAGGGACAAATGGTTGCCCGGTTGATAGAGAACAAGCATTGGGACACAGCTACTTTTCTAATCAAAAAGTTTGGTGGCAGGATGTAATAACTATATATAACTGTTTTTAAATATATAAGATATATGTAATAACTTCTGACATTCAAATGTCTCTTATTACAGCCTATCTTATTGTCTATATGGACTGGATATGTAAAGATAATTAGAAATACAGCCACAGAGGTCCAGTTTGTGCTTGCTCAGAGTATCTTTCTGCACATTTTGCCCTCTCTATTGGAGAGTTTTACCCCATCAGTCTTGCTGCTGTTCAAGTGAATGCTATTGCCACCTATTGGCGTGGTGTATGTCTTTCAGTGTTTAGGGCTCTATCCTATTTGGTTCTAAGCTGAATTTGAATGCAGTATATTGAACCTAGATTCACTTTCTAAATAGTTGATCATTGTTCATAAACCTGTTTCACAAATTTAACCTTAGCTCTCAACAAGTTTAACAATGAAAATACCCGATGAAGAAAATTGAACTCATTACCTTACATATGATGATGGGGACCTTATTATTTTATGCAGAGACAATGCTAAACATGCCGTTAACCTTTTCAAATGGACGATAAATGATACCAGGTTCTAGTTTTTTACTGTAGTTCCTGGAAAAGATGTTAATTATAAATAAATATAAAATAATTTATATCTATTATCAAAGCATTGAAACAATAATCCTGAACACACTTAGTAAAATCATTGTTCTTCTCAAACACACATCAATGTTGGTTGAATCAATTACATATTTTAGCTTTCAATGACTTTGCTATTGTTGTAGTTTACATTTCCATTAAAAGGATTAAAGAGCAGGACCTCTTAAAGTTTAACTTTTTCTCACAACCAGTTCCTTGTAAGCCCACCAACGTCAGAGCTTCCCTACGCTGCCACACAAACTCTGCTGCAGTGACATGGGAGCGGGCCAGCGGAGCAGCCTCTTATGTTGCAGTGGCTGTTACTGCAAATGGGAGTCACAGGGCAGAGTGTAATAACACAATGAGCTACTGCGACTTGGACGACCTGCATTGTGGACAGACCTACATTGTCAGTGTGTTTGGCCAGGATGAGTCGTGCTCTAGTGTGGAGAGCAGCGAGTCTTATGTACGGACAGGTATGAACTCAGCGTCCCTAACTGTGGCAAGATTTGCACAGAAAATACTGTTGTGTTTTTTAAAATCTCTATCCTTTTCATCTCTCAGCTCCATGTTCACCTCAGAATGTGACTGTAGATGCACAATGTGCAGAAGGGGGCATGGTTGTTTCCTGGTCTCCCAACCCTGATGCCCAGTACTTCCATGTGGCGGTAGTGAGCAACACTGGAGCGAGATTGTACTGTAACTCCAGTGACAATGCTTGCTCTATAAACAATCTGCCTTGTGGGCAGCACTACAACATCACAGTCATATCTGTTAGAGATACTTGTGAGAGCAAACCAAGTGCTGTGGTAGCAAGTTCCTCAGGTGAGCATCAGATAATTACTGCTTCAAAGCTGTAAAAATTACCTTTTTAATTAAGTTTTTAGGAATTGGAGGAAAAGTTTGGAAAAAATATATAACAGGAATAGATAAATCAGAACAATGAATTTTAATAAGTAAAACATTTTCTCATTCTCTTATTTTCAACAGCCCCATGTGTTCCTACAAAGCCTAGTGGCCATCTGGACTGTGTGTCAAACTCAGCATGGGTGACATGGACGCCCTCAGCTGGGGCAACCAGCTACTTTGCACTGGGCATAGCAGCCAGCGGTCATAACTCCAGCTGCTCCTCCTCATCCTCCCCCTGTGAAGTAGCAGATCTGAAATGTGGGACTCTCTACATCTTCCATGTCACAGCAATTAACAGGCACTGCAGTAGTAATCACAGCATCACCTTTGAGATTGAGACAGGTATTCACTATCACTTCCTAAACAATGTGGAGTTTTTGTTATAGTCTGACCTCCTGATCACTAATTTTATCTCATAAGAACTATAAAGATCATTTCTATTTACGCATCACCTTTACATATGTTTTTGAATAACCAAAAACATTGTGCCAAAAGTTATGCCACCAGTTAATTATTATTATTTTTTTTGGTTAAATGTTCGGGATTCTCAGCTTTCAAGCATTAACTAAATGGTTTTCAGTATTCAAACTTCTAATAACTGATCAGAGCAGATTTGGGAAAATTATTGGTTTACTTTAAAGCTGTTAGCTTGTTAAATAGAGAACTCCTTATTTTTTGTTTAAAAATAACTTTTTTTTTCCTACAATTTTTACAATTTTCTTCTACCTCATTGGTCTTTGTGTTGTTTTTTCATTTGTTTTATTTTTTGATGCCATAAAGCTGTGACTCCCACCCGGGTGTACTCGTACCCCAAGTGGTCCACTAGTCCATTGCAAGGGGTACATAAAAATATTTTATTTCCTACGTAGTAAAATTAAATAGGGCTGGGATCTGTTCTGCTTTGTGAGGACTCAATTAAACACCTAAACAAGTTTTTTTTGTTCTATGTTTGAGTTCATATTGAGCTGTGACCCCCATCCAAACCAAGCAGAGGAACAGACTGGATGAAGAGAACAGCCTGGTATCAGCTGTTTTTCACGCTGATCTATCGGAGCTCATCAAAGCAGCTTAGGTGTCTTGATGAAAACAAAGTAAAACTAATTAAGTCAATCTGACAAATTTTTGTTCTGTATTTTGTTCCCAATTCATCAAGTTTAAATGTGATTATAAGGCAGTTACTCAGAGGAGCTCCAGTAATATAAATATAGGTTTGTAATATGACTTAATTTAGTATTTATATTTGATTCCTTACTAGCTTCCAGGCATTTAGTTGTTTTTTTTTTATTTGAGACGGGAAGAATGAATTACCTGATAATTACAGTAAATGCTCAAATTAAAAGATTAAGTAAAATAGTTCTTCTTATTTCATAATCAGTTACTGTACGTTCCACATTTGGACAATTATCAATACTTTTAACTGAGAGCGGTTGTCATGGTAAGTCAAAATGCCCAAAGGGGTACACAAATCAAAAAAGGTTGGGAAACGCTGCTGTAAAGGACCAATTTACTGCTTTTTGACATCTAAACTAGTTTTGATCCTATAAACCTAAAAAAAAAGACTTTTCCATCTATTAGTGTCAATATTTTGTTCTATAGCTACACTTGAATTAGTTTAAGAAAAACAGTTGCTGATTAAAAATTCTGATCTAAGATCTTACTTTTCTAGACTGTGGCTAAAAAAATAATTTGATTTGGTCCAATTTATTTTCATAACCTTGTAGGAATTACTGAACCCTATCTTTTTGGTAAATGTATGCTGTTGTTGTTTTTTTAGGTCCCTGTGCTCTAGAAGCCATCAGTGCAACAACTTCATGCAACAGCAACACCATCCTCGTTGAGTGGAAGCAAATGCTGGACTCCCCTCTCTACCTGGTTACAGCTGAAGCTGAGGATCAAAGGCAGATTTCCTGTAACAGTTCATCAAATTGGTGCATCCTCCAAGATGCTCGCTGTGGTTTGCACTACAGCATCATAGTCTCAGCTTCTTCTGACAAGTGCAGCAGCCTAAGAAGTCCCCCAACAAAGATCAAAACAGGTATTTTGTGATTTTCCCATAACAAAATTAGTTACCTTAAACACACATTTAGTGCCGTTCTTTGTATCCTTTAGCCCCCTGTGTCCCGAGCAATGTGACAACGGTGCCGCTGTGTGAGAGCAAGGGGGCTGTGGTTTCATGGGAAAAATCTTCCGTGGCCTTATCTTACCAGCTGACGGCCACAGGACAGGATGGGCACTTTGTGGACTGCAACAACACGGCGAACAACTGCACCCTGTCTGACCTTCACTGTGGTCAGAGGTATAACTTAAACATCACTGCTGTAGGAGAGAACTGTACCAGCTACCCCAGCCTCTCATCTTTTAGAACAGGTATATCAGTCAGACCTGTGTAAAAACATTTTGGCTAAACTTGGATCAAATTGTTCATAGTTTTGTAGCTGATGCAGGCTGCAGCTGAAAAGTGTCAAAACATAGAATGCTCACACTTAAAATAGCATGTCTGCAAAACATAAAAAATTATGTTGCCAATGACTTTAAAGTGTTTTTAACAACTTAATCTAAAAAACTGAATAAGCTGCGACAGCCTGTGTGCGCATACTTGAAAAAATTATTGGTGAACCTCGATTTGATTTAATTAGAGCATTATTTTTAGTAGATCTTTATCTGGATTAAACAGCTTTATTTGGCAAAATTGCAAATCCTTTTCAAAATCTATCAGATTTACAGTATTTATGGACTCAGATTAAGCCGTTTCAAAGCTGTTATGAAGATTTTGTAAAAGATGCATGCTTGGTTACACAGTGATTTAACCTGACTACTGTTTACTTGACCTGATACCTATTATAGAGAAGAGTTACCCAAGAGAATGACATGGCAATATTTATGGGTATGACATTTTTGGCGGTCTAATTGTGTGAAATTATTCAAAGTTCAAATTCAATTAATCGAACAATGGGAAAATCCTAGAATTCAGCCCATATACACGTATAAAAATGTAGAACACAAATTGTTTTTAAAACTAATTTCCCATTATTCTGCCAGTGTAAATTTATGAATTTCGCTCCTTACTGTATATATTTTGCATTTAAACCTACAAAAACATACGAGATCAGACTGGCTTTAGAATTCACTCTTTGACTTATTGTTTTGCTCACAGTTCCTTGTCCACCTTCTAATCTCACTGTGGATATCGACTGCCGGACCAACTACGCCAGTCTGTCTTGGGATTACAGTGAAGGAGCTGTGGAATATTTTGGAAATGCAGCATCTATGGATGGACGAGCACTCTACTGTGACAGCAGTAACACTTCCTGTATGCTTGAAGGCCTACAGTGTGGTGACACCTACAACTTCACACTTAAAGCGTTTGATGGTATCTGCAACAGCTCCATCAGCTCGCCTCTGCAAAAAGGAGCAGGTGACTATGGGGTTCATCAATATTCTTTTTAAAGTTAATGTTTCCACTTTGAAAGGTAAAATAAGCTCTTTTTTTTGTTCAGCTCCTTGCCCTCCATCTCGTCTGAATGTTCGGATGCAGAGGATAAAACAAATGTACTGGGCCATGATATCATGGGACAAAGTCAACTGTTCAGACGTTGAGTATTTGGCTGAAATCAAAGGGCAGATTGGAAACAACCCACAAAAGCTGATGAAGGTTTCCTCCTACTGGCTGCTTAGGCCTTATTTTGAGCTGCCAATGCCTTGTAGTACAGCTTTTACTGTAGCTGTCTACTCCAGAAACTCTGGTGGAGTCAGCAAGCCATCCACAATCTTCTCCGGGATCACAGGTATGATTTAATTTGAACACTTTTCCAAAGGAAAACAAAAATCAGATGAAAGTCTACTTGTGTGAGTCAGATAAGTTTAAACCAATTGATAAAACTGCATGATTTCCCTTAACTCATGTAATTAACAGTTCTGTATTTGTATATCTTGCAGAGCCCTGTGCTCCACAGAGGGTGAAATACAGTGGGAGCACGGCATCGGCCATTTTGTCCTGGGACGCGTCAGTCTTTGCAACAAAGTACACCGTGTACAATGTCTCAGGGGGCAGCCATGTGAAGCTCTGCAACACCACAGAGCTTTCATGTCAGCTGACCAACTTCAGTCCTGAGTCCACCAAAGTAACAGCCACCAACGCTGTGGGAGAAAGCAACCCAAGCCAAAACATAACAGGTCTGTCATTTGACCTCAGATTCTACAACATTTCAAGATGAACTCATTTATGTGTTTTTTTTTTAAACTTTAGGAAGAAAAGTGTTTCTAGTTTTGATTCTATGTTAAGATTTTCCAGAAGGCTGCAGATTAAGTTAAGAAAGTGGGAGGAGTCTCTGGCATTAACAGAGCAGACCCTCCAGTTAGCCTTTCAGTTTCCCTCACTGTCCTCTGCAGGGCCCTCTTCACTATAATTTTGCTGTTTTGATATTAAAATCAGATGTAATCCTCAGTACCACAACTATGCACACTCTAAAAAAAAAGGAAGCTTCAACTGAAATGAATTGCTTCAGTTGGTATGTAATGGAATTATGTTTGCCCAACTTAAATTCCAACTTATAAATTATATAAATTAAGTTGGATAAACTTGATTTAATTACTAATTACCATTTGAAGTAACTGACTTAAGTTGGAGCAGCATTCTCTTTTTAAAATGTGTGCATCCTAGACATAGATTATGATCCCAAATCTAACCTCATATTTTAGTGTGTTCTTTTCTTTTCTAAGCAGTTCAACTATATTTCAATTACATTTGTTAATACTGTGCCGATCCACAGCCAACAACAACTTACAAAAAAAAAAACAGATCTGGTTTAATTCCAGTTCTAATGAAATGCACAATAAAGCCATATCATTCAGTAAAATAGAGACATGTCAAAGGATAATCTTCATTGACACAAACTCCAAACTGATCATAAAAATATAAAGATAACATACAATAACACCACATAATTCCACTATGATTGGCATTAAAAGATTGCCTCTTTTAGCGAGGTAAAAAAATGGCTTAAGGCGTGAGGGCATGGGGTACAATGAATATGATCCCAGATGCTAATATAAGACTTGTTTATGTTCCTCAGGTCCAGTAAGTTCACGCAGAAAGCGAGATCTGCGACCCACGCAACTTTATGCTTATGAAGAAGAAAGTAAGTGATTCTTTTACAGTACATTGCAACTATTAGTTTTGATATTAGAGATGTCATTTTTATTCTCTTCTGTCTCTTAGATCTTGAAACCCCAGAGGTGTTGTCTGTAACAGTAAGTGGAGGGTCCTTGTATGTCAAGTGGAGGATGGTGAAGGGCGCTACCGAATATGAGATCATCATTGAAGAGGAGCAGAAGGCGGGGCAGACAACTCAGCTGCCCAGAGTGAGATATACAGATGGGGATTTTTACACAGAGATGGACCTCAAGCCCATGACCACCTACTGTGTCAGAATGGCAGCAAAGGACGACCTCAGCCAAAGCAACTACTCTTGGCCAACATGCAGAAAAACGGGTGTTTTGTAAAGGAAACAATATAAGCTGATAGAGACTGGACGAAAGAAAGATTTTATCTGGTTTAAAAAAACTGTCTTTTCCAATAAGTAGCATTCATCACAGATTTTTTCTGGTTTGTTCTCAAAGAACTTTAGGAAGAAAACTCAAATATGATTGCATTAATGAGGCCAATTATTTTCTTTAAGGTACATTTTACTAATTTCAGAGAAATGATAATCAAAACGGGGACAAACATTTAGCCATTTTTAGCTGTCTAAAGATATTGCTCAAGTCATATTTATCAAAAATTGTTACATGTTTAAAATAGCTCATTAGACATTTTGGATGATTGTTAACCAAACTGAAAGCAATAAACTGATTATTTATCAAGAGGTATCTTTAAAACCATCCTGTATATTTTCTTGGTGATCTCCTTGTGAATTTTTTTCTTATCGGTCCTATGATGATGAAATAAATAAACTAATCTATGACTTATCAAAAAAATACCTGTGAAATGATTTTGTTTGTAAAACCTAAAAAGTGTGTCCACTGTGCACCTGGAAAATATTCACAGTGCAGCATTTTTCCAACAATGATTGGACCAAAGCACAGATTTCCACAGGTCTAATGTCCATTTATTGTGATCTTTAGCCCAAGCAAGTCTCTTCTGCTTGTTGCCTGTTCTTAGCAGTGGTTTGTCTAGTAGCTTTTCTACCATGAAGGTCTGATTCACACAGTCTCCTCTTAACAGTTGCTCTAGAGATGTGTCTGCTGCTAGAACTCTGTGTGGCATTGACCTGGCCTCTAATCTGAGCTGCTGTTAACCTGTGATTTCTGAGGCTGGACTCGGATTAACTTATCCTCCGCAGCAGAGGTGACTCTTGGTCTTCCTCTCCTGGGGTGGTCCTCATGTGAGCCAGTTTCCTTCTAGCACTTGATGGTTTTTGCGACTGCACTTGGGGACACTTTCAAAGTTTTGCCAATTATTCAGACCTTCATTTCTTCAAGTAATGATGGCCATTATTCTTTGCTTAGTTGCTTTTTTCTTGCCATAATACAAATTCTGTCTATTCCATTGGACTATCAGCTGTGTATGCACCTGACTTCAGCACAACACAACTGATGGTCCCAACCCCATTTATAAGGCAAGAAATCCCACTTATTAAACTTGAGAGGGACACCTGTGAACTGAAACCATTTCAGGTAACTAACACTTGAAGCTCATCAAAAGAATGCCAAGAGTGTACGAAGCAGTAATCAAAGCAAATAGTGGCTTCTTTGAAGAACCTGGAATATAAGACATGTTTTTAGTTGTTTCACACTTTTTCGTTGAGTACCAATTCCACATGTGTTAAGTCATAGTTTTGATGCCTTCAGTGTCAATCTAGAATTTTTATAGTCATGAAAATGAAGAAAACTCTTTGAATGAGAAGGTGTGTCCAACTTTTATGCCTGTACTGTACTTTAAAACTTATTCTTATTGCAAGTCTCAAACGCTTTCACTTGCAACTTCAGATATAATCAGTACCAAAGGAAAAAACTGTTATATTCTCATGTTCTAAACTCTTCTAGTGCTAAATAAAACAAAACAAAACAAGAACTAAATTAGATCAAAGTCATAATTTTAAAGACAAGCTTTGCTGAGCTTAGCTCAGTTTAGCTTAGCCAAACAGAAATAGCCATAATGTTGACAAATTATCCTTCTTAAATAGCAAATATGCTAATCTTTACCCATTGGTCTGATGGACTCACACTTCCACAAAAACCAAAAACTGCTTCCAAACATGAAACCCTCCAATCTAGTCTCCCCACATGAATGCCACTGTACATCATGATAAACACTGCTCAGAAGTGGCAGAACTCCACCACATTCCTGCCTTGAGTACGAAGGTGGTGCTATCATGTTATCATCTAGCTGCAGCAGCTGGCAGACCAGTCAGGTAATAGGAAAACCCGAATGCAGCAATATGCAGAACATTCTGAAGGAAAACCTTCTTCAGAGCACTCCTGACCTTACACAAGGGTGGAAAGAGAAATTTACTGATTTAGAGAGAAGGGATTGCTTTTCTTTTTCTTTTTCAATCTTCAATGATCTCCTTTAGTGAAGGCAAATGTCTGCAGCTATAAAAAATGAACTAATAATCCAGTCACCAGTACCAAGGTCATAAGTTTATTTTTAATGCATGCTAATCAAAATTTTCTCAGATCATTCAAAACTGATTACATCATTAGAGGGTAAATAAAGCAAAGATTTTTTATTTATTTTTTTACCTATAATATGTATTAATTTAGCTCTGCCCAGTTTTGACCTGCCCTCACCTGATCCACCTGTTCCAACTCCTATTTTGCCAGTTTCCACTCAGATTATTCAAGCAGAGTGTGAAAGTTCTCTAGCGTACCCTGTTGTGTTTTAATTACCTGACCTGACCTGGTTGAGTTTGGCTTGCCCCTGTTCCGGTCTGTCTCTGCCTGTTCCTGTTTTCGGACTGCTGTTTGGATTCAGTCTGTTAATGTCCTTGGATCTTTCCCTGGACCCCGGTTTGGATTCCCCTTCAGTACCTCTTTGTCTCTCTGATCTACTGGCCTGGACTTCTGCTCCTGGTTCGTCACCTGCTCTGGATTTTCTCTTCGGATTAATCAGCTCTTCTGCATCTGCTGGCTTCTGCTCATCAATCTGCTTTGTCTCACCCCTGAAACTCTCTGGGCGGCTCCCACCCAATGCTGTGGAAAAAAAATCATCTGGGCATGGACAGAACTTAAGAACCAGGTTAGTGACTCACATGCTCATTAACATTCAGCGGACAAGCCGCAATACCCAGAGCAGTCAAAAATACTCTTTTTCAAAGTACATTTAAGTACATTACTGTGGTGGTACAAATAACATCACACAGTTAGAAAAAATAAATAAATCATGTGTCCCACAATTACTGGCACCCCTAACAATTCCACAGAGAATGTTAATTGATTTCCTTCAAATATATTTTCTGTAGTTGCTAAAGTTGTTAGGAGTATCTACTTTTGATTTTACCACCAATGTACTTAAAAGGATTTGGATTTTTCTTTGGGCTTTGGGCTATATATACATATATATATATATATATATATATATATATATATATATATATATATATATATATATATATATATATATATAAAAGTTAGTTTTTTTATACAACATTTTATTTCCCTTTGGTATTAATAAAATAGTTTTGAATTGAGTTAAATTGATATCTAAATTTCAGGAATTTTATTCTAAGACAGCGCACCTCATCAACACAGGTTTAAACAGCGCCCTCTACTGGTGGTCGAGGTTAAAGATGGCTGTAGTTTCCTGTGGTTAAAAAATGAATCCCGTTTTCACTCCGCCGCTTCACCTGCAAAGACATCAGTTTGTCGTCGATTTTGTCAGAAAAACCAAGCCTAAAAAGGTATTTACTTTAATAGTTAAAAATAAGTTCAACTACTCTGAAAACATTAGACTCAAAGCCAACGTTTGTCAGCAACCAACCGCCAAATGAATTAAGGCCGGTGGTTACACGGCTTCACTGGTTTTGGGCGACATTTTTGCTAAATTTGTATGTCATTTGTATGTTTTTTTTTTTTTATTCCTATCTTCCACCAGGTAGCTGACTTGGGCTGCGGTGAATGCAAGCTCCTGAAACAGCTCAAGTTTCATCGCAGCATCGAGCTGCTGGTCGGCGTGGACATCAACGGTGCAAAAATCAAGAAACACGTGTGAGTAAAGAGGAGCGTTTTCATTGGCAGGCTGTTTTTCTTTGTTCTATCAAACGGTTTAACAGTTGGCAGCTCTTTCATAAGTTTACTGAATTTTTTTTTTTTACCCATTCATATTTCTATATGGATAACTATATGAATTTGTAGTGACTAGCTAATGCTTTGTACAGTGGGAGGAAACTGGAGTACCCTGCGATAACCTTAAGATACATAAGGAGAACATGCAAACTCCATACAGAAGTAGCCCAGTCCAGGACCTCCATGCTGTGAGACTATGCAGCAGCTTTATTTAAAAAGAAAAACAATAAATTATTCTAAGAATTGAGTTGTTAAAGCATGTTTAATATCTAAATATCAAGACCATCAGTCTCAAAGACAGGTGGAACCAACTTAACCAAAGTACGACTTGGATGTACCGAAGAGGATCCTTTCTGCATCTAATTAGCTATTTTAAATCCAGGGAGTAACCAAAAAAAAAAAAATGTAACCTGGAAAATTGGAAACAATATTTTTTTACGTTTTTTATTGATAATGAGTGTTGAAATTTTATAGCACATCTTCATGTGTGGAATTAAAAAAATGGACAAAACTGGGATTGGGAAATCTGCAGGGCTGAAACAATCAATCGTATTAATCGGATTAATTGGATTAATCGATTATTGAAATATTCGTCAACTAATTTAGGGCCCGTCGCCACTTGCCGATTTAGACAGTGTATGCCTGACGTCCCAGAATCTTCTAAAACGCTGCCATACTCTTAACTTTCCATGTATTTTTTTAATTTTGGGCGTATACATAGTGTATTCATAACGAAGCCAGAATTTATGTCCGACAGCCTAACTTATGCATAACGCACGGCAGCGTAATGCTCATGAAATGATGCACAAGCCAGTGTCCCGAGGGGGGCAGCGATATGCCTGGTCTGCATAAAATAAGGTCTTTGATCGCGGTTAACCTAGCTGCTGTTTACCGCCTGCCAAAAAATACAGAATATTGAAATAGAAAAAAGAAAGAGGTTTGTATTTGTTTTGGATAACCTGGAGAGCATGACTTATGAGTAACTGGCACTTAACGTATGTTAACGATCAGATAACTTACCTCTAACTTATGGCCCACATATGAGCATACGCTGGCATACATCGGGAATTTTGAGCAATCTCAAAACTTCGTGACGTACTTTCTGTATGTCGATGTGTGCCAGCATGATTCAGCGTGCTTCAACGTGCTCATAACTTATACAAAACATATCCGCAAATATCCAACGTCCCCACGTTTTTGCCAGATTTTTCGTCAGACATACACTGACCTAAATCGTCAAGGTGTTACAGTTCCTTTAGTAATCGATTAATCGTTAACTGGAGTATAAACAGTTAAAACATGTCTTTAGCTGACAGAGCAGTCCACTTAGAGCAGCAATTACACCAATATTGTAAAAAGATATAGAAACGTTTTACATTCAAGATAAAAAAAAAAATAAAAAATTGTCTGTCAATATGCTCTATCCAGAACTCCTCAAGTGGAAAAGTTTGAGTTTCACCTGTCCAATTATTAATCGATTAATCGAAATAAATAATTGGCGGATGAATTGATTTGTAAAATAATTGTTATTTGCAGCCCTAGGATCCTGCAAGTTGGATTGTAGAAAAATATAGAATTTTGAATTTTAAAATATCTTTAAGAAAGAAAGAGGTTTTGAAACAGGAAGATGGTGGAGAGAGGACAGTTTGTCGAAACGACAAGTTTAATGATTATCAATAATACAACAGAACATGTCAATTTTATATTTTGTTTTTTAGTAATTTTTTTGTTTATTCATCCAGGCATGGATTAGCTCCTCTGTCAACTGACTACCTCCAGCCTACCAACCACCAGCTTCATGTAGAGCTATACCAAGGCTCAGTCACACAAAGAGATGCTCGCCTCAGAGGATTCGATTTAGTGACCAGCATGGAACTGTAGGTCTCTGTTCAAGCTAGAAAAATATCACTTACATCATGGGTCTTTTTAAAAAAAAATGTGTGTGTGTGTTTGTTTTCAGCATAGAGCATCTCACTTTACCTGATGTGGAGCACTTCTCATCTGTGGTCTTTGGATACATGAGTCCAGCAAGTGTTATCATCAGCACCCCAAACTCAGAATTCAACAGGCTTCTGCCTGGACTGACTGGTTTCAGAAACTATGATCACAAGTTTGAGTGGAACAGATCCCAGTTCAGATCCTGGTACAGTACACTGTTTCAGTTTTTTTTTTTTTTTTACAAAATCAAATAAATGGTAAACTCCCATGAAAGTAGGACATCATGCAAAAGTAAGTGCCTTTAATTTAGTAAAAATTTAAATCGTTCGATTCCATGTGTATGAGAGGATTTATGTTGCTTCTAATGGATTATATCTTTCAGCTACTAACCAAAAATTCAATTTCTTGGGAAATAGGATTATTATGTAGAATTAAAGGTATAGTGGAATATTTTCACAAATTATTAGTAGTTTAGTTACTAATGCTAATCAGAGCATGCACAAGCCACTTTCTCCTCTTGCATGCTCTGTTAAAAGTTGCTGTTTGCATCACTCATACAAGCTTACTTCTTCAAAAAAAGATTTGCAATTTTTCTTTAGGTCAAACTCACCACCGTGTTATGAGAAAAACGGATGTATGTAGTAAGTATGAATGAAAAATTTAACCTTTAAACATGTTCTTAATATTTTCTTATTTCTTATACCTGGATGCTCCAAAATTGAGATGTTTGGCAGCTCGATAAATACAGAGAAATTCCTGCCTGCCAAGAATGACCTTCCCTGTTGCAGGAGCGGGCATCGCCCTAAACTCTCGCACATTGATGAGAAAATGGATTGAAATATGAATGAAAAAGGGAACTTTTAAACATATTCTTAATGTTTTGTCGGAATTTATATAGAATGGTGTCGATAGGAATAAAACTGAGCAGAGAATATATTAATCGGACACTAACTGTAGCTCATCGACTAAAACGTGACTCCATAAAGTGAAAAACGTATTCATTTGACTTTATCTGTCCACTAAAACTAAAGTTTAGGGCATCCATGCATAAGAAATATGAAAACATTAAGAATATGTTTCCAAGTTCCCTTTTTGTTCCTATTTCAATCCATTTCGTCACCAGTGTGTAACGGGGAGGTAATTCTCGGCATAGCTTTAGGTGAAAATGGGGACGAGTACGTAGTACAGCCTTACTTATAAACATGTCACCAGAATGATTGACAATTAGGAGGACCATTTGTTGAGATGATCCACCAGGAAAAAGAACATCCTCCACTATACCTTTAATAAGAAAAAGCCTGAGCCCAGGTTGTTTTCAGACGACCAACATTGAATGTGGGCTGCTGTATCTGATGTCTTATCTAGGGTTTAAGTTTGGCTGTTTTACAGGCCAATCAAATACAGTGGTAAAACTCAACTCAACTTTATTGTCAAATGTGCTACATGTAAACATACAACACAGATGAAATTTCCATCCCCTCAACCCCACGGTGCATAATAAAATATAAAAAAATATATATACGGTATATAAAAAAAAAAAAAGGATGTCTGCAGGGGGAAGAATGAAGTGCTCTGAGATTTATCTTTAGACCAATGTTCTCCCTTTAGAACTGGTAAAACACTAACACAAGACTGTTTAAAACTGTTGGGAGTTCCCTCTAAGACCTTGACTGTAAATTTAATTGAAATGGTAATATAATCTGAAGAGGGCTTGAGACCAAAGCTTGTTGATTTTTCTTAAGAAGCTTCCGAAATTCTATTTTAGAGAAAGCTTCGCAATCTGCTGAAGCAGAAATTATCTCTGACGCTTGCACCACACCTTTAACCTATTGTTTTTGCTTACCTTCCCAATCCCTTTTTTCATAGGTCATGTATAATATTCTATTCTTCAAGTATTGGGTTTATCAGCTGTAAACTGTAATTATTAAATTGCGTAGAAATAAACGCTTGAAAATATGCAAAATATGTTTGTACATAACGTATATGAAGTGCATTCACTGAAATTAATTTAATTTCCGAATATGTTTTTGAATTTGGTTGTATTTTGCATTATTGATGTGTACTCTAGAGGCACATGTTTCCAGATCAGTTTTTGGGTGGAATACCTTATTAATTCAGTAGTTCACGATTGTCAATCCCGACAACTTTGCTAAAAGTACCCTAAAACATACTAATTTTCTCTTTTTGTCTGCAGTATCAAAGCCAGATATTTTAATAGAAAGACATTTAACAAAGATGATTTAAAAATAATCATTTAAGGACAGCTGGTGGTTAGGATATAAAGCTTCTCTCTTGGATTCTCCCTTTTTTAATGGTTGTTTTGCATCTTGCAGGGCTGTTAAAGTGTGTTTGGATCACGGCTACGAGGTAGAATTTACTGGTGTTGGAGAACCTCCCCAGAACCAACTGGAAAGTGTCGGTTTCTGCACCCAGATTGGTGTGTTTCATCGTCTCAAGGGCAGCAGTCATGGCAATGTGTTACCTGGCAGTGAAGATGAGGTGTTTTCCTACACATCAGTGAGTATAATAGTTTATGAAGAGCTGCTTCCTGCATGCAGGATGCAGCGTAAGTTGTTTAAAAAAGGTGGTATTAAGACTTGTAGCTCATTTAAAAGATCAGATCTGCATGAAGGGATCAAATCAATACATAAAACAAAATATGGGGCTGCTTTTAGGTAAAAAAAAAAAAATGTGCTGAAAGATCTCTACGGTTTTTGTCATGTAAAATGCATATTCCTGGAGAAAAAAGGGCGAAGGCCCGCCTCTATGTGCCATAAACCGGTATCGATGTGGTCGGGCTTAAAGAAGGTTTTTTCAGAGGTTTACGTTTGTGGTTTTTGTATTTTATCTCTTGACCTTCTCTTTCAGGTGTACTCTATAAACTACCCCAGTCTGCATGACAACAACACTTTGTGCAAAGTCTTAATGAGCGAGGTGTTATACTGGGCACATCAAATGACGAACAGCTGGATGGCGGAAAAGACTGGAAGGCCAAACGGTGATTTACCACACCGTGAGTCTGAACAAGGAGAGCTGGAGGAATGGCTTTCAGAATCCCAGAAACAAAGAGGTACACAAACCTCTTCCATTAAAAATGTATGCATTTCTGCTGATACGTATGAAGCCTTTTCCCTGTCAGCATGTACAGGAGGTTTGGCTTGTTCTGTGGATTATTTTGGCCGAGGTGAGGAGCAGGAATGTGGCAAGCTGCCACAACAACAAAGGTCTGCTACATTCAACAGGTGTGTCTCATAATAAGCATGCAGGGAACAGTATTTAAATTGTATGAAGGATTTCTTTTCAATTTGAAAGATAGAGGACAGATGTATAAAGATGTGTGAAGGCATGTGTTCAGGTTAATTTTTAACATCCCAGTCAACAGGGAGTTTAATTTAACAAAAGGTAAACCAGACTCTTCAAGGAGTGTACATTTTCTCAAATTTACCCAAAGTTAAATTTCATTTACAAAATCAGATCTCATCTGTTAATGTTTTTAATAACTTGCATAAATTCCTGGGAAGCAATCTTTCTTTTTTTTCATTTTTTGTTCTTGAAACTTGTGGCCTTTATTTTTAAGTAGGTGAGGTGGGGCTCGGTAGAATCCTCTAAAGCAGTTTAAATAACCATAAAAAATAACCAAATAACCAGGATAAATCAGAAGCAACTGGAATTCCGCTTGTTTTTTCTGAAAACATTTCGCCAACAACGCAGGAGTCTTAAGTCCTGAATACACCAAATCTGATCTTGCGTCCGATCCTACAGAAAATCATGTCTGACGAGGTTTTAGCGTTGAGCTCTCATTACAGTCAATGGCGGTGATCACACCCAACATGACTTTCTGCCAGGGCGCTTTGTGTAGCTTTGAGCTTGATCCCAGGCCTATTATAGTCAGACTATGCAGCAATTCAGCGGAAATGTCATGGGTCTGACAGGAAGTTATACGTGGTTACAAAGTAAAACACGCAAAACGACAGGAAGTGGAGACCTTGAACCATTGATAAGTTCTGATGCTTAGAAAGCAGGATGATTTTTAGTGAGGTGAACAGACCTGTTCCACATCTGGTGGATTTATATTAAGGAAATAAGAATTTTTATTTATTTATTTATTTGTTTATAGGGATAGGGACAAGTATGTTTCATGCATCATGTCACACACTACAACATTTTAGCTAAGGCTAATTCTCAATGCCTGTCCCCAGTTAGGCTTTTACATTCATTATTCATTAAGTTATCACATTTGCAGTATTTATGCCCACTGTAACCACATAGTTTATCGGAATAATCAATCCACTCATAAAGATGGCGGGTTTAATTAAAATCTGATTCATATATGCTAAACTTGTTGATGTCATGTGAACCCCAGCCGTGCCATGGAGCTGTGAACATCTCAAGGTTTAGTTCATTATTTTTAAATGAAAAAGTTCATGCTATGGGCCCGAGCTAAAGATTTTTTTCTTTTTTAAAGGCAAGCAAATTTAATGGTGCGAGCAAAGCTGATTTACAGGTGCACTAGAGCTGTGCTGAAAAGAGCAATTTTCCAATTCTAAATCGAATTATATGATCAAATGTGTTTTAAAATGGGTTTCCCACCGTCCTTATAGCTGCCAGGAACTACTACTTCAGTAAATCGCTGTTAAATATTAATATAATGCTTGTTTTAATATGTTGCATAAATATGTAATACCGTAATGTTTAATAATCATATAAATTAGGTAACAGTTAAAACAATATTTTAAAACCAGCTAATTGAGATCAGACCAGTCTGAGATGAAAAAATAAATAAATTATAATTTGTGTTAAATTTCAGTTTCTTGTTGATTGGGCCTTTCATGCAACAACAACCTCAAATCTTACAGAACTCATGCTCATAAGTTTATCTTATGTACCTGAGGATTGATCTTCTTCACGTTATGTCTGCGACTCTGTTATTCATTTAGATTCGTCTTGGTGCCTCTGGATGGGTTGTGGTCCTGCTGTCCTAAAATCCGAGAACTAAGTGGAAGTGTGGAAAATCTCAAACAGCTATTGATGGATCAGCCCCAGGTTAACCTCAGTCAGGATGGCTCATCTCTACTTGTGAAATGTGAAGAACAAGGTACGGTTTAATGAAACTTAAAACATTAAAGATGTCATTTGAATCACAACATCATAGTGTTTAAAATACATTCATAGAGATTACCTGTAGTCTCACGGTTGCCCAGCAGATGTCATGACTGTAACATTTGGTTTCATTCATGCAAACCTGCATGGGAAAGATTTATTTTCATGTAAGCCCTAAACTATTTTCAATTTACTCGACTGTGTGTTTTCAGATCCAGAACAGGTTGATTGTGATTTGGAGGATGATAAGGGTACCAGGGCCGTCCCGGTTTCTTGTCCAGCTGAACCGGAGGAAGACTGGGAAGCAGATATTTGATTTGGAAGATGTTTTGACCCCAGAAGTTGTAAATCTTATCAGATCTACCTAAAGGGATTTTTTTTTTTTGTTCTTGTTGTTGCTACAAAGCAATGTAGTTGGTAATATTATTTTGGACAATATGTTAAAGCTGTTCAGTGAAAAAACAACAACAATTAATCTAACAGTTTCTTGTCATTATTGCACCTTTTATAAAAATGCTGAAGTGGGATATAAACATTCTCCGAGTTTTAAACTGTTTTATTTAACAGTGTTTGGTAGACACTTTGCCATTTATTACAGTCATTAAGGAAGCAGTCTCAAAAAAACAAGTCTGTAACAGAGAACACTCAACAGTGTCAGAACATCACAGAACATCACTTTACAAGAGATTAGATTTAATTAGACAACAGCTTCACAGAAGAGAAAAAGCAGCCATGTTTGTAACATGTTAGGTACCAAGATGAACACACCTGTTTGACACAGGTTAAAACATTTTATTCCAAAATAAAAGACAAAAAAAAAAACAACAACTTCTGACCGAGACATCTGGCAGCCAGAGTTTAGACATTTATTACTGATTTCCTTATGAAAAAGACACTTCACTTTCAGACATTTATTAAAAATGTCACATCAGCAACAAAGTATATATGTAAAAAAAAAAAACTTGCTTAAAATAATAAAAATACAACAAAAATAGATTTTTCAACAACTTCAACACTGGGGCAGATATCGGCATTTATGAGAACAAATTTATGCTTTGATGATAAAGAAGCAAACAATTATTTCTTCAATATAACAATGGACGGCACAATATAAGGGACAGGACATTAAAATGGGCCAGGCTTTGACAAATGATATTAGATTTGACAAAACTAACAAAATTTTAACCATGCGTGTCATAAAAATGGCAAAAACATCAAAAGCTAGTGCAGATATGAATAGAGATGCTCACTTTTGATGGGAGACGAAGATACAAAGATCCTGCAGAACCTGTTTTCACTAGTCTCCAAGCCTGCTTCAGGCAGTCAACCCGTTAAAAATAATGCATTGAGTAGTTGAGCTACTTTGTTCTACAGTATTGTGAACTTCAGACCCTAAAAGGGTGAAATGAAAACTGACTCCAAGCAGGATTATGGGGAACTTTCAACACAAATGTATTCATTACATAATATTCTCTGCTACTTTTGACAGATATCACTAAGCTCAATCTTTTGGTATGAAAAGATAATGCACAGGTACATGTTAATAAATCCAAATATAATTCAGAGATTTTAGCTATTTAATTAAAGAGTGAAATTTCAGTTGATTCTAATCAGATATATTTCAAGCATTTATCAATTTAGATGATTAATAGCCTACAGTGACTAAAAACCCAAGTTCTGTTCGCTTCCTTAAAATACTCAAACCTTGCTTTTCAAATTAAAGCTGTTTAATACAGATTGAGGACTTCAGACTACAGAGGAATTGCCCAAACATTTTTTTCCCCCCCTCTAGGCCACATTCAGTTCAGGAGTTGTTTAATAAAGGAAAGATGACAAGTGGTAGTCGATGTCTTGTGTACATCTGTGTGGTATATCCTAAGGGACTGTCACATCCCATTTCAACTGAAAAAATATATCTTGTATGGGCTTTGCCTCACGAAGCTCTCCAGGCTGTGGTTCCTCCTACTGCTTATACAATTTTCAAGCCATTTTTTTTTCTCCACTCAACTTCCTGAAAATCTTTGGATGCTGTACTCTCTTTGAACAACCTGCTTCCTTTACAGCAACCGTTTACATCCTACCGTTCTTGCTAATGGTATCTTCTACTACCTGCTGGATGACTGAAAGTCATTTCTCCTCCCGACTGACTTTTTTAGATGTTTTTAGGGACGATAACATTTATTTCAAATCCCGTATTGGATTAGGAGACTGTTTTAAATAAACTAAATTCTGGGTTTTTATTCACTTAAGGCACTATTGTAGTGTGCAACAAATCTTTACATGTTTTCACCATACAAAGTTATATAATATATAGATTTTTTTTTTTCATGATGTTAAAATTTATTAAAATGTACCCGTTTTCACATAAATGCAAGGAACAGTGAGCATTTTCGTCTTAGCAGTGGATCACCTAACATTTTGTTCTGTGGTTTAGTTGTTTAGAGACAAACAGCAGAATATGTATCCGATTTACAAAAGTAAAAACTATTCAGTCAAAGATGAATGTTTGTTGATATATTTTTCCTGATCTGCAGAGCAGCAAAGATACACATCTGTACATCTGAAGCAGAACGAGATCTCTTAATGTAGAAGATATTTAGCTTTAGATAATAATCCTAACAGGATATTTTTTTTTAGTTTTGAATTTCTTTAAGTGACCAGAACTGAGAAAGTGTAATGAATAATCATGGGTAATTTAAGGTAAATTAGGCCTGGTTCTTTTTTGAACAGGGGTTCTATTTCTATAAAAGTTTGTGAAAAATCAAGCAGACAAGCCTGTTTTTTCTTTAAAAAAGAAAGATATATATATATATATATTTTGGTAAACAAATGGAGCAATACTCTCCCGTTTTCTCTTTTCCAGTCTGGACACATTCATCACGATTCCTTCATTCACCCAACATCAACAATATCTACTATCAATAAAAGTGGCCTCACACATACTCACCCACTCAGTGTGCATTCACACATAAAATAGCTTACATCATATGTTTTCTGTAGTAAAATATTTCAAAAACAAACAGTTATCAGTGCCGACTGCAGCCTTTAAGCTGCTCATAGGCAAATGATCAGGAGGACATCCTATTTAAAAGGATATCCAAAACAATTAGAGATTAAAGGAATGTATCGAAAACGCTCTTCATTTGACCTCCCTTTGAAGGTGCACATATTTCCAGCTCCTTTCTTTAAAGTTAAAAAAAAACTTGATTTCATGTGAAATGCATAAACATACAGGACTTATCTATACCCAAACAGTGAAATTATTTGGCTCAGAGAACTGAGCATGAAGTAAAATAGCAGAATAAATTATTTTTTAAATCCTTTGTATTTTCGTTAGCAATGATTTTAAACCCCTTATTGGCAAATTTATGTGTTTAAACTGAAGGAGAAACACTTTTTGCTCCTGAATTACAGTATATAATGTGGCACAAATAAACACATGGGGGCGCTATAGTTATATCCACAAATCAGGCTTGACACAGTGCTGATCACGGGACTAATCAGTGTGCTGTGGGAATTAAAATATACAAATGGAAACCATTCTTTTAAATAGTGTAATGAGGTTCATTCCATCATTGAGCGGCTGCAAAACTTTAACGCTTAATCACCACCTGCTCGTAGGCACCACCACCAACCCTGAGACGACAAAAAAAAAAATTCAATTTATACAAATCACAATTTGTATATTTGTTTGAAATCCCCCCAGAAAAGGTCCTGTTACTCATGCAATATCTAAAAGTAACCTCATTTTACAATAGAGCCTATCCTCAACAATGCTATGGCTTCTAAAACTTTAAGATTAAAAAAAAGCGCAATCATTACTTCATTTCATCCAAGCTTATCACACCTACATTTTCATGCTGAGTAACAATGGTGCTAACATGACGTCAAACTGACAACATTTTATAAATATATATATAAAAAAAAAAAATTAAAAAAACTAGCAGAAGCTCACCTGGTGGGAAGATGATGGCTTCCCAGGGCCGTGCTTCCTCCTGGCCCGACAAACAGACGTAAGCCTTCCTCTGTAGAAAACACAGTTGTAACAGTCAGTGCAGGAGGTACACACAGCCTCCTGTATAATTCTTGTCATGAGGAGCAGCCAGTTGCTAGGCAATCTAAAAATAATCATGTATCGACAGCAGCTCTTTTTTCTTAGCTTTGAGCTGAATGAGACCTTGGAAAGAAACACAATGCTGTCCTCTAAGTACAAACAACCTGACTCACGGGGTAACAGAAGAGCGTTGGTTAATTTATTGTTATGCAAACTAGCTCTGCACATTAGCCTGTAGTACTCCTGTATTGGGCGGCAAATTCTTTTTATTCTTATAGCACATTAAAAACCTTCCTGAGGTAAGATGAGTGAAAGATGTGTGTGAATCTTTGATTCTCACCTTCAGCGCTGGAGTCCAGTAAACTAGGGGTGAAATCTTGACTTTGTAAAATCTTTTCCACAACATCATCAGCATCCACCCTGGTGTCATCCATTCTCTTTAGCTGAGACTCCATCGAGTCCTGTTTTATAGGATGCCTGTGGAGAACAAAATATTTCTCCTTTGAGAGACTAAGAACACAGTTTGACTTATTTGGAACAGGCTGTTAGCATCATCAAAGTTTTAGAAGTGAAGCTCACATTTTTATTGTATTTCATTGTATTGTACAATATTGTACTTCTTTCTATAGTGGAGGGTTTAGCTAAGTTTAGAAAATTCTTTAAAAAAAAATTGCTAATGCACAACCCTGTACCAGCTCCGAGAGGGAACATCTATTAAACACGTGCAAGAGCCTGCACGAGCCCATTTCTTCTTGTGCACGCTCTGTTTAAAAGTTGCTGTTTGCATCGCTCATACAAGCTTACTTTCCAAAAAAAGATTTGCAATTTTTCCACTATGTCAGACTCACTACCGGTAAGTAAAAATGGGAACGAGCACATAGGATGGCCTTACGTAAACATCACCAGAATGATTGACATTTAGAAGGACCACTTATTTTGATGATCCACACGGAAAAAGAACATCCCCCATTATACTATAGCCTTATGAGACCAGATAAAGTGCTGAGTGACCATCTGTGGTCTTTCTGAATAATGTGTTTGTTAAGAGGCAGCAACACTTGCCTGGATCTACCTACTACCTGACAAACAGGCCAGTTTGTGAGACTGAAAGGTCAACTATCTAATTACTTAGCAGCGCAGGAGCACCACAGGGGACGGTACTCGCACCATTTTTACTCTATACACCTCTGACTTCCAGTAGCAGAGTCCTGTCATCTGCAGAAACACTGTGATGATTCTGCAGTTGTTGGGTGCATCAAAGATGGACAAGAAGCCCAGTACAGAGAGCAGGTGAACCACTTTCTGAAATGGTGTGGAAGCAATCATCTGATACTGAGTGTCAACAAAACAATAGAGATGATTGTAGATTTCAGAAGAAACAGGAGCAAGGGGGATAATATAAAAAAAATGGCAGAAAGTATTATTGAACAGATTTTTATCTCTGAATTACCCTTGGGCGGAGGTCTTCAACAGGGGTCTGCGACCCCTAGGGGGTCCACAGAGGTACTGCATGGGGGTCGCATACGTTTTGGTTGATTAGACTTTTTTTTTTTATATTCCCCAATGCAATTTTTTCCACTAATTGAAATGTCTTTAAATACATGATAACATGAATTCAACACGCTGTAGTAAACAGAAAAATGGAAGCAGAAGATGTCTTTAAGTCATCAATGCACACATTCAGCGACACACAGGAGCTCTGTCGAGCCGGGCACCTTTTTAATCACAACACCTGTCCCATCAACGAGGAATCAGAATCAGAAATACTTTAATAATTCCAGGCGAAATTACTTTCGTTGCATGACTCCATATGTAATAAAGTGACTATAGGACCAGTTTGACAGAACACAATTTCAAATGATGTATATAATTAGGGGGTCAATGCTCCATCTCGTCATCAGTTTGGGGGTTCTATTTCCTTTTTTTTTAAAGTTAATTTGTTTTGTAGTTGTTTAAAAGTTAGTTGTTTTAGTTCGTTTTTTTTTTTTTTTTTGGTCCGGCAGACTTGCAATAAGCCGACTGATAAATTGATGCAGTCTATGACTGCATAGCTAGTTAGCTTTCATCTCCCTGAGAATATGCTGACTTGGTGAGCATGGCCACTAGGAAAGGGAACTTCAAAAATCTAAATGAACTGTTTAGTCAGGATCAGAATTGGCTTCATTCACCAAGGTTGTGCACAAAGAAAATTGGATGTTTGTTCTACAAAGTTTTGAATTAAGGCATTTTTAAAACAAAAACATAAAAATTTACTTCCCAACTATTAGAGACTGGTTACTTTATTTTGTTCATGTAACCCCTCTCAAAGCTATACAACCCTTCTATGATTTCGCTCATCACAGTAGTACGTATATCTGGTTTTAAGCAATTCTAAAACACCTGCATGCAGAGCACTAGAGCTCCTGCTGTTTAGCTGTTGCACTGTGCTTTGCTAGGGACACACTGCGGAAAAGAAAATCACACTGAACCCCCCAACAGGATGTGCATGTGGTGTTGAGATGCAAATTTGACGTCAACGTTTGAAATCTTGTCCTACAAAAAATACAAACCGGGTCTTTCTGCAAAAACTGGCTCCGAGCTAATAAACCAGGACGTGGTGCTGACAGCAGGCTGCGGTTTAAACCACCTTGCAATAAACAGAAGTCAGGGCTGGTTAGAAACAAAACTTTGAGGAAGAAGGCGGAAAATAAGAGTAAGTAAGAGAGTCAGAGTGTCATTCATTTAATTCAATCTTTTAATCTAAATTAGTTTTTTAACCAGAACTTTTTTGGAACTTTTTGAATTTTAGGAAAACATTTGGTACCATTGCAAGTATGACTTATACAGATAAAATAAAGTTTCCTTATCTCCGTCTGGAACTAAAGTGACATGCAGTTTTTCAAGTGGATTGAAACCAGACTGTGACAAGTTTGACGCAGCACTTCCTGTCACAGTTTGATGTTGTCTTGTTGTCAATGACGTTTCGTAGCAACCAGCAGTAATTCAAACTACTTGTTGATTCATAAGTGCAATAAGACTGATAGTGATAGTCCTGTTTGCATTTTTCTTAAAAAAAAAAAAGCTAAGCCAATTTAAAAATAAAGGTTGTATATATTAAAAGGTTTTGGTTCCTGAATTCATATAACTCTGTGGTTTCTATACTTATATGAACTGACCTGTTCAGTCGCTCACAGGACGAGGCACTGCGTACTGGTGTGCCCTGTGTATTGCTCGTGGTGGCTGTAGGAGCCGGGCGTTCAGGCAGACCCGGACAGGGTTTGGGCTCCCGCTCCTCGCTCGGCTCTGGGATGCTTCCGATTCCGGTCGAGGCACTGCCCACAGAGTGATTTCTCCTGTGGCTGAACTCTGAGATGCTGGATGAGCGAGAGTGGCCTGTGCTGTAGCCTAAGAGAGACAAACCTTGATATGACCACACAGTAGGATTTATCTTGGGAGACATTTTTTAATCGTCAATCCCCCAAAAATTCAGCATTTCAATCCCGTTACGATTTACAAATACTAAAACGGTTTTAATATTCTGAAGTTCATTTTTCAACCAATCCAAATATGAATAAAAAAATTGGGTTTCTTTTAATAATGCAATTCAAAAAATGGATCAGCATAAATTAATTACACAGTGAAATGTTAGTTAAAATTTTAAAAAGCAAATTAAAAAATTACAGTAAAGTTGATGGGAGGGGAAAAAAGTTTAGAGGAAAAAGTAAAAAGGCAAGAAAAACTGCAGGAAAAACCTATTCAGCAGTTATGGGAAGATCCAGCAGATGTGGACTGCAGCTCTGCTCGGATGGGTTTAATCTTAGGGGATGAACCATAAAGACCCGATGGACTTCAGAGATGCTAAACTGTTCATGGATAAAGTAACTCCTTTCTTGTGTGTAACTGTTTGAATAATTTAATGTTTACCACAAACTTCTCTTTAAATAGTTTGAATTGCACACAAGATGAGACGAGAGAAAGATGGCCTTCGTCAATTTGAATTGGTGTATCATTTGATCTTTGTTTTTTTCTTTCTGTTGCAAAACAAAATTGCAAAAAGGAAATAACCATTTTTGTTTAATGTTTTTCTGTTTTGATAACCTCAATGCAAAAAATGTTTTTCTTTTAGCCATTTTAATCCCAAATAAAATATACAGCTTTAGTTTTAAGTATTAATAACGGCAGCGTTGTTGCAGAAAAAAATTAGTGCAACTGTTGCAGGTTAAAATTCAACCAGGGATTGGGTAAAGCATGAAGGATTTGGAAATATTAGAGAATTTAAAACAGACTTTTTTGTTTTAAAGTAAAGGAAAATAATAACATACATGTAGGGTTACAAAATGGCTTACTTGAGACATTGTAAAAAAAAAAAAAAAACTGATAAGCAGTGCCAACTGTCTTTTAGTTGCAAACTGTCACTTTTTGGCAAGCGATGGATGTTTCTGCAGAAATACTATGAGACTAAATGCATTGGCTGCATTTAAACCTTCATCTGCATTGAATACAGAAAAAGGAAGAACACCCTAAAATTGGCATGTTTTGCGCTGTTATTGAGCCACACATTACTGTGTTATGAGGCTTTTTTCAGGGTTTTGCATTGAGCACAACATATGAAGAAGCAACACTCTAACATATACAGCATTCTATGTATGTTTTTATTTTGAAATCTAGATACTGAGGTACAAAAATAGGAAATGCTGAGTACATAAAATCAGAGATGGGGCTGATTTTGTTGTAGTGATGTTGTCCAGTTAACATTGATAGGTTAGATAATAATCTGTTAGTCACAACA